TCTTGTTCGTACAGGACGAGCTGGAAAAGAAGTTTGGAGGGGGTTGCGCACGCGTCATCTGTCCGATCACGGATCCGTTCGTCAAGCACCACGGCGCTCTTGGGTCATTTGTGCGCGTTCACGTCAACGAAGGGCATGCACACGAGGTTAAGGATATGTGCGAGTTTCTGCGCGGTGGGACATTCCCTCAAGTCGAGATAGTGATGGAGCGGGATGAGGCCTGTGAGAAGATGGAGATGCCACCAGATCGCGAGGGTGACTTTGTGGTCATATCGATTCAAAATGCGGTCCTGGGGTCAAAGGCTGAAGAGCATGATCTTAGTACTTTGGAAGGGCACAGGCTGCGCTCACATGGTGGATTTTCAGAACAGAACATCCCGCTGCTGATGTCAACGCCGGCGAAGATGGAGGGGGAGCCGATCAATAAGCGATGGAGGAACTTTGACATTTTTGACCTGGTTTTGAACCATGGTCAGTAGCTATGTAGACGTCAGACCCATCCAAGGCTCGTGCAGAACAGCGTTATTTCAGTTGCTTCGCTGGTTATAAGGAGGGTAATTGAATCCAAATTCCGTTCCCTGGTGTAGAAGCAGATCGAACTCGCCCATGAAATTCGGATCGAATGACGTGTCGAAGGTCCAGTTCGAAATGTCTCCGGGTGATTCCGAATTGAGCCACATTTGATTAAGCACATCAATGTTCGTAGCTGTCCTCAACGCAAGCGGCGACTTTTCGGAAAGACCAGACCGATGCAGGAGACTGTCAATGCCCCTGGTAATACTGACCAGCAAGTGGCGCGCGTGCATGGAGGACACTATGCGTTTGAGCGTCAATATCAGGGCGCTCAAGACACGATTGACTTCAAGAACGTCGATGCGCACCATCGAAGTAAACTTGGTCGATACTTTGAGGAGAAAGACTGCAGCAAAAGCTATCATAATGTCAAAGTATGCTGGCAGGCCATTGAGATGTGATTGGATCTCGGGATCCGAGTCCACGGTCTGAAGAATCCCAAAGGCGGCCTGAACTGCAGAGTTGCGCACCTCGGCGACTTCCAGAGCTATTTCGTGCGAGCGAGATTGCGTCTGGTCACAGGTTGCGCCACGAAAGGCGTGTGAGCAGAGATATAGCTTCGCAAAGTATCCTTGTAGCGCGACACCTTTCCGAGGATAGTAGCCTACGTGAGCGTTTTCGTTGAACAAGTCGATGAATTCGGCGCGTAGGCTGTCCAAGGCAATGCTAAATCGTCGCAGGTGCGGTATCTCCTGATCTGTCAGGGGTCGATCAATGTCGTGGCCAAATGTGTCGAAAATATCGGAGCAAAGACTCCAGCGTAGCACTTGGCTAACAAGTCGGACATCATCTTCAGTGGTGTGCTCGCATTTCAGAAAGTCTCTCGCATTTCGAATAGTGGGGCATTCTCGTGTCATGGGTGGCCGCCCAAAGAAAATGGAGTAGTGATGGTCGCCAATATAGACGAGCAGGTATAGCCTCGTACGTAGATAGTGCGAGCGGTCGCCTTGGAGAGCCTTTGCGAAGCTCTTATGCAGCTGAAGCTCGGTAGCCATGCGCACAGCTGCACCGACCAATGTCCAAGACAGGTCGCTCAGCCAAAAAGCCCCGATTATGAGGGCCCGCACATCGTCGACTGTGCCTTCTCTGCGGAAACTGTGCGATGCGCTTAGAGAAACAAACTCGTTATAACACTGGTCGAAATCTTTCGACGCTAGATGAAGTGCGCCGACAGTGCAGACGGCAGCAGTAAGCAGGGGAGACACCCCACGGATCTCTTCTAGCGGCGCCGAGCTAAGGTCGCCTAGAATGCGATATCGATAGTGATCAAGCCTGTTTTTATACGTATCGAAGTACACCTGGGCCTTTTCGAAGGTAATGATGCCGCGGGCAATGAGATCCTTTGGAAACGGGGCGTGCTTGGGGGGAGCTGGTGCTATAATTGCACCCGGGAATGCCCCCGGCCCGCCAGCCGTGTCCAGATTCACAACCACTTCTTGGTTGTCTGGTCCGGGAGAATTGCCATTCTCTCCAGAATCCACGCTTTCGTCCATCGGCGACATTTCGAGCCGGGAGTCCACTAAGCTACGTGCTTCGGGACCCAGATGTGTAGCCATCTCCGCAATTATACCTTCCAGTCTCTTCATCCTAGCATCAACCTGGTGCTTCCAGCTAGATGGTTAATCCAATCAGTGTGTATAATAGGTAGGAATGCATGGATAACGTACACTGTGTCGCTCTCGAGAAGCATCTGCAGACTTCTATTGACTGTACATGACAAGCCCCTCTTCTTGCATCGTGTGCAAGGTGGCTTTGAATCGCGCATGTCGCACTTGATCTTTGTACAGATGAGCGTGGGTGTTCCAGGGATTGGCCACGGCATACCTTTTGCTTTCTGCACGAGACGCAGGCCGTTATCTTGCGGCTGATATCTGGAGGTTTAGGATCGCCAAACGCATCTCTCAGCGCTCGCACAGGCGAGGGTGGTTCGTCAAGCTCATCCATGCTGCGTCACAGTGCCGAAGTTTCTCGCAATCGTTAGAAATGTTGACGGGCACAATCGCCTGATGTTGGAGCCTAAAAAGTATCCGAAATTCGGTGCAGGAGAAGGGCATGCGAATGAGGAAGTCGTGATCGGGACGAAAGCCGGTTGCTTGGTTAAGCATGCGTGACTAAGCAACCGTTCAATTCCGCTTGTCGGTCTGAGAGCCGGTTGAGCTGCGAACCGGCGGATATAAGCTTTGAGATTGCACCAAACGTTTCGCCGTGAACTCTCATATCGGGACTCAGTCAAAGAGCGGAAGGGAAGAGGCGGAAGGCAGGCTGGAAACCCTGGAGACGTGTGGCGATGGCGCTATTCCCGCCTCATCCTAGCTCGGCTCTGATCCCATTCGCGGAAGAACAGGAAAACGCATTCATCCGCCAACCATTTCCCACCGTACCTTTATACCTTGTAGCTCCGCGAGCACACAGAAGATGCCCTCGGATGATGTGCATTCCAAGCTTTGCGGAGAAGCTTGGAGAGCTTAGAGTAGCTGCAGACGAGCGTCTTCACACCGACATGACAACCTGCTAGACGGAAATCGTTGGCGTTCCAAGACGGAGGAAATATATCAGCGCCGTGCGAACGGAAATGGCAACCGGGTATTTGGGAAGAAAATAAAAGTCTCTGAATATGTCGCGTCGAGGCCGACTACCGCAATAGATACGCCTCGAGCAATTCTACCTCGATCCCGCTTCACTATGAAGTCCATCCTTCTCTTTTGCTCCTCTCTGGTCTCTTTAGCTTCGTCCTCCGTCATTATCGTCGAGAATGATCACATACCTGTTGGCGCGACGATAACACGGCCGCACAGTACGATCTTGCCACGTTTGCCAGGGGCATATCATGAGCCCGAGAAGGACAACTGGGGCAACAGTGTGGAGAAGGATCGGAAGAAGATCACTATTCGGTCATCGAAGGATGATAATGATGATATCAGTGCCGACTTCCTATGGGCTCTGCAACAGGCCAATAATGGAGGACTCGTGCATCTTGAGAAGGGGAAGAAATACTTGATCGGCAAGAAGCTCGACCTCACATTCTTAAACGATGTGTACGTGAAACTAGATGGCGAGCTCAAGGTATGAAGAACTTGGTACTCAAGTGGTTGAAATTTGCTTACCGTACCAGTTCACAAACGACATCGAATATTGGCAGGCGCACAACTTCTATTACGACTTCCAGAAGAGCATCACATTCTGGGTTTGGGGTGGAAAGTACGCAAGCAATGAGCACCCACTCATGCTATTCTTTCTAACGCTGCTACAGAGATGTCAAGATCTACGGCTCCGGAGTGCTGAACGGCAACGGCCAGGCTTGGTGGGACGGCTTCGCAGGCTCCGAGATTCTGGACCCGAACAACAAATTCTACCGCCCAATTCTATTCCTGACCGACAACGCCACCAACATTGAGGTATCTGGAATCCACTTGAAGGACTCCCCGTGCTGGACCACATTCATGGTGCGCTCCAAGAACGTCGTATTTGATGACGTGTACATCGACGCCGTATCCACCAACGCCTCGTCGTTGCCGAAGAACACAGATGGCTTCGACACGCTGAACGTCGATGGACTGGCTGTCACCAACACGCGCGTGAATGTTGGCGACGATTGTTTCAGCCCGAAACCCAACACCACAAACATCTTCGTCAAGAACCTCTGGTGCAACGGCACGCACGGGGTTTCGATGGGTTCGATCGGCCAGTATCCCGGCGTACTGGATTATATCTCCAATGCATGGATCGAAAACGTCACTTTGCTCAGCGGCCAAAACGGTGCTCGCCTCAAGGCCTGGGCTGGACCAGATGTCGGATACGGCTACATTGACAACATCACGTACAAAGATATCCACATCGAGAATATAGACCATCCGATCGTATTGGACCAATGTTACTTTAACATCAATGAGACTGCCTGCGCGGCGTATCCGTCAAAAGTCAACATCACCAACGTTAATTTTCTGAATGTACACGGAACGAGCAGTGGAAAGAAAGGAAGGGTTGTAGCGGATCTGAGATGCAGTCCTGGGGCTACGTGCAGTGGGATACACCTAGACGAGATTAATCTTACGAGCCCCGCTGGGAGTCCGGCGCAGATTGTGTGCGACAATATTCAGGGTGATATCGGCGTTGAATGCGTCCCAGCGAGCGAGGTTGAAGATTAAGCGTGTAAAATTTTCAAAATGATATCAAACACTTTTGCACTCATGTAGCCCACGAGCTCTTCCTCTTTGCACTTCATTTTCCTAAAAATTGAACCAACCCAAGGGGCGTGAAGCACCGAGATTTGATGCTTTAAAAGTAAGCTCGTCACCCGCGACGCAGCACTTGTAAAACGCGCGAAAAAAAAAAAAAAAAAAAAAAAAAAGATAGAGATTATAAATCAATGAGCTGAATAAAAGTACTCCTCTTATAGAGAGGAAAGGCAAAAACGAAAATGATCGATTCTCTCCCTCGGGGAATCGAACCCCGGTCTCCCGCGCTTGTACCCGAAGGACGATGACAAGCGGAAATCATGACCACTAGACCAAGGAAGATTTATTTGATAGTAGTATTTGTTGCTTTATAAAAATATAAAGTACAAATTATTTTGGTAAGAGGAGCAAGATCAGAGAGTAGGGAGAGCGAGATCGGAGGCGATGGAAAGAGCAGGAAAGCGGGGTGGAGTTAGCGCGGGGTTGAGTGGGATCGGGAATGTGCGGGCGGCTTAACGCGCACATTGTCGGCGACATTTGTAGTACAAGTTCTAGCCAGGGCACTGTTGAGGGGCGGTGCATGCATGTTCTTTGCATGAGTATTTGATGAGCAATGCTATATTCTAGCGAAGAAGACGCCATTGATATACATGGCGAGTAAAACACTTCCAGATATCCTGTTCGACTGACTGCGGACGCGCTAGTATAACGAGGTGTGTTTGTCCGCTCGCTCATCGCTTGACGGCTTAAAGTGCATATCGAGACCTAAGATATTTCATAATGTTGTACCCGTCCAAGTTTACGCAGCAACAGGCACCAAACTGGGGTCATTGCAAGAGTCACGTGGATACGTCGCACAGTGAAGGGAAGCAGCTTCATGTATAATTACTCGTTGATAAGTTGTAGCTCGAGGGTATCCTAGCGGTCGTAAACGCCATGCTATGCAGAAGCAGCCTTCCCATGCAAAATGCAAATTGTGATGATATTTCATCTCGGTCCGTCAATCGTCAATCATTTGCTCTACTTTTTCTTGCCCCGCTTTCCACCACCGCCTCCCGTCGCTGGCTTCAATGCCGCATGCTTGGGGAAATCCTTCAAATGCTGGAACAGTTGGTTTTTCGTCGAAAAGTCCTTATTACAGCTGTTGCACTTGTGCTGAGCACTCTCCTCGGTCTGCTCTGCCTGTTTGGCTGCTTTTTTCGCTCGCTTTTGTGCAGCCTTGCCGAGTTTAGGTCCATCGACGGAGGCGGCAGCTTCTGTCTCAGGAGAAGTTTCTGGGAGAGATGTAGCAGCGGTTGAAAGCTCATCAGTATTGCGGAAGCCAGCGAGACGGGCTTCAATGTCAGAGCGAGAAGCATATTCGTCATCATCGTCGTCGTCGTCGGTCTCTGGAGCGGATGATGTCTGCGCAGTGGATGCAGCTGGTGCGTGTGCTTCTTCTGTCTCAGACTCGCCATCCAAACTAGAACGTTCATGTCCGTCGCCATCTTCAAGCCCAAGCCCGTCGACGCTGTCTGCAAGGTTTTCGATATCGTCGTCGTAACTACCAGCCTCAGCATCGCCCGACGCCTCGTCACCCGACATTGGCTTGACGACCCCGCTGGCTTGCGCTTCACGGTCCAGATTAAACATGGCATTCTCTTTATGCATTTTTCGCTTCACTGCACTGACCGCTTTCTGGTGCTTCTTGCTCTTCTCGTGCGCCTCAAACTGCGCATCACTCTTGAAAGTCTTCTTGCAGACCTCGCATTCATAATGATGCACCTCTTCTTCCTCCTCGTCCTCAACCAACTCTTCGGGTTCCCTCGCTGTAGCCCATGAGGGAATAGCAGCCTCCTGCAACTTCGCCGCCTGGGCTGCCCGCGATCGAGCTGCTTGTGCTTTGGCAGCGTCACGCTGTGCCTTTGCGCGCTGCTCCTCTGTCTGCGTATTGGGGGTGTATCGCGGGTCTCGCCTCCGCACAAAGAGGATCAGCGTTCGAACGGCATCGTTGTATTCTCGGATGCCTGCGTCTCGAAGTCGCTGGTTCTCCTTTTCCATCAACCGGCGGATACGGCGATCGGGTGCCTCGGACATCCTGTAAATATCTTTCCAAGCGAACGATTTCCTCGTGGAAAACCCGCTCCAGACAGCATAAAAGCTCCGCACCACGTCATCGTACGTATCATCCTTGTGACCAAAGAACGGGTAGACTGGAACGTCGACGCCCTCGTAGTTTGCTGCATGCTCCTCTTCCTTAACAAGCTGTTCGAAAAAGTCGCGAAGGAAGCCAAAGAATCCATCTGGCGCGTCTGTGTATTTGGTGCTCCCCCGAAACTTGCCCATCATCCTGGCAATGTCGTCTGCGGTGGTCGACCGCATGTTGTGTTCATAATGCGCCTCTGCTCCACCTTCGCCCCCCCGTAGAATGTCTCCCTCGTGGGCATCGTACCAAGCGCGCTCTTGCGGGTCAGAGAGGACTTCGTAGGCGGACTGTATGTCGGAGAAAAGAGCGGTGGTGCGTTCGACGTCGCCGAAATTGCGGTCTGGGTGGAGCTCGAGAGCCTTCTTGCGGTAGGCCTTTTTTAATCTGTCCCTCGTCAGATGGAAGTAGTTGTGAGTTTGGTGTACATACTCATCCTCGGTGGCGGTCCTCTCGACGCCCAGAAGCTCGTAGTAGCTCGTTTTCACCTCTACAGCGCCTAGCACAGGCTCTTCCCCCGTAGACTGAGCCGCGCCCATTTCGATGCACCCGGGTCACGAAGCAGTTGAGGCACTATCATGCGCGGGCGTATTGCGGCCGGTAGACGTGGGCTTGACAAAAAGTTTGCGTTTATGCGGTGCGTCTAGGGCGAGTGTCGGCCGGAAGTGACTGTTCGGTGGGCGTCTATTGGCTGGAACGCGAGGGCGAAAATTTCCAGCAACTACGACTCACTGCAGAGGGCACCGGGTGACCGGCGCGCTTTTCGACTGACGCAATCTGGTCACGAACGGCCTTGACGTGCTTGATGGCGGCGAGAAAGAGGCGCAAGCATGTTTCTTTTTGTATCGAGGTCCCGCGGTTGCTCCCACCAAACGACACATCCCGCCTCACATCGCCCCCGTTATCGATAAGCCCCGATCCGACACCCCGGCCCAGACGGCATCGATCCTGCAGCTATCCTCACCTGACGCCTTCAGCCATCGAACGCAGCCGTGAGCGTGCCACGGCTCTTCAGCTTGGCACCTTTTCCAGCCGTCGTGGCTCCCTGAGAGCAAGCATCCCCGACCTTTTAACAGAGGCGTGTCCCCCAGAGCCTGTGCCACACACAAAAGACAGTGAGGCTCTTCCCACCGTTCGCCACCCCGGGGAGATCGACGCCGCATCGCAGAGCTTAGCAGTGGAGGCGCAACCAATCTGAGAACCGCCTTACCCCACGTGCGCAAATTTGCACTCCTCACAGGTTACCGACTACCAGCAACCATGAAGTACGGTCAATGGTTCAAGCAGCGCCTAAAGAACGACGGCTTCCCGCCCGACTGGGTCGACTCCGCAATCTCGTATTCGCAATTGAAGAAGTGTATCAACAAACTGACCGCTGAGCTTGCTTCTGTCGGCCTCGACGCGGCGACGCTGAGCAAGCTGCTCAAGCATGTCGAAGAGTACAATACGTCCACGGCTGCCCAAGATGCCGACGACGGCTCGCGCTCATTCGAGTACATCCTGGCTGACAATCACGCCAACGACGCCAGCTCCAAGAAGCCGAGGACACCTTTCCATCCCAAGCTCCTTTTCCATGTCAATGAGTCCACGGGAGAGATTCTCGGCGCCAATCTCGATGACAAGACGCGCAAAAACCTCCAGATGCTCGCCGTAGAGACAGGTCTGACCGAGTTGCGCGTCTTCGAGGAGCCAGACACAGATTCCATCGCATCTTCAGACTCTGCTTCATGCACTAGCAACAAAAAGGCTGGCTATCGGACTGTTGAAGTGCCCTTGACCTCTGATTCCGAGTTTTTCTCCACCTTGGCAACCGAACTGTCAGGACTAGAACAACTGCAGGACAGGGAAGAGAAGCGCATGCACAACGAGATCGAAGGGCTAGGGAGGCAAGTTGCCAGAATGACTGACCCTGATCGCAAATCGAATCGTAGATTACTCGCTGTGTGGAGGGAGATCTTCCAAGTTTACATCGAGAGCGACATCTTCTTCGGTCATACCGAATCAGATCATGCGGCGCACAACGCAGACAAAGCAACAGAGAGATTCCAGAAATTCTGCAACACCATCGCTACTCAAGGTCTGGTGGACAAGATCAAGAAGCCAGAGGGTCTGCGCGCGCTGAACACCTTCATGCACATCAACCGAGAGATCTTGCAGGGTCTCCGGTTTGGGGAGATAAACCATACTGCCATGTTGAAGATTCTGAAGAGTGAGTTTCCCCATACGCCCCTCCCTCACAATAGAGCACGCCACTGACTCTGAGCAGAATTCGACAAGCAGACCGCCCTTGGCGTCAAGTCGTCTTTTCCACAGCGACTCGAATACCCCGAGTTTTCCGAGCACCTCGCCAAAGCCACTTGTGCTGAATTGAATAACCAAATCCTCAGTAGCATTCCACAGCTGGAGGACTACAGCTGCCCCATGTGCATGGAGCTCAAATGGCGACCTGTTCGGCTTCGGTGTGGCCACACCTTTTGCATCCGGTGCTTGATCGTCATGCAAACAGATAAACAACATAATTGCCCGTTATGCCGGGAGAAGACAGTCGTTGATGCATGTTCAGGTAAGACCACATTACGTTCCTTGAAGCTGTCGGGTACCTAGCTAACACGTGACAGACAATCTCGACCTCGAGCTTGCCGATTTCTTGAAGAAATGGTTCCCAGACGAAGTCAAGGCGAAACAGAAATATAACGAGTTAATGGCAGGAGTCGATCAGTATGGAGAGGTCTACAAGGAGCGATGCGTGGTAATGTAGGAGGGAAGTCATTTGGGTGGCATGTCAGGGTCCCTTGTCGGACCTCTGTCTTTTGTTAATTCTTCAAGATACCCAAAGTACAAATAAGAGTTCTTTTTCTTCTAAGCAAACATCGCGCTTCCCCCTAGTTTGTTGGGCGATGTGTTGAGCTAAATGGTCATCATGACGGCATTGCAGTGGGGTACGTCCTCGAAGGGAAGGCACGAACGAACAGGCAAGGCAGGATTGAATTTCGGACTCCATGGTAGGAGCTGGCTCTTACACCAGCTTGGGGACCAGAATGTTCCTGAGATGCAGCAAATTCTCAGCATTGCTTATTTGCCTTGAACTTATCGCAGTCTTCAAGTCCTTGTTCTCCATGTTAAAATTAACAGAAGCGACTAGCCAACCTCAGCTGCGTGC